AGGGTGAACCTGTTGTGCCCCTGTGGCAAGATGTTCTGCTCCTGGACTAGCTGGGTGGTTCTATCCTCTACACTCTCTTCAGGGATTGCAGCTGCAGGGTTGCACCCCAGGCATGTATGCCAGGCCTTAGTTGAGCCTGGAGGAGACAAGGTGGAGTAGCGGGGGGGAGGCAGCTCTCCCACACTATCCCCAGGCCTGGGCTAGGACTGGGTCTGGGGGTTCCCGGAATGCGGCAGAAATTCCTACTCAGCGGGTGGGGTGGGGAAGTTGCTGCGGAGTGGTGGGGGGCGTTCCAAGGGGGTGGAAGAGTGTCTCACCCACACTGCGCCTGGACTGGGAGGAGTAGTTTGTCCCGCCGGCGCAGGGTAGCCGGAAGCTCTCCCCCTTCTTGTTTGTTTGTTTTTTTATTGTATTCAGTGCAGAGTCTACAGGGTCTCACTACACAGATCGGACTCATAGTGCTCCTTCTGTTTTCAGCCTCCCAAGTGCTGGGATTACAGGCATGTGCCACCAGGTCCAGTCTCAGTTACCATCTGAGCGCGCCCCCAGGACATGGCCAGCATGGCACACCAAGGATCCAACCCTAGTCCCTGCATAATCCACTGCGCTATCTGACCAGCCCATGTGGTGCTTCTTAAAGACAATCTGTTTTAATATTAAACATTTATCCTTTATCAAATAAAACTACCAACATACTACTTGGTGGGCATCTACAAGGAATTTGCTTCATAGATTCATGAGAATGGCTTTCCATTATTGTTACTGGTTAAAAGCAGATGTTTCTTCAGGAAGGATGGGAGGCAGACAGTTGGCTTTCACCAATTTTTAAAATATCCATCCCATAATCTCCTTGTATCATTAATTTGTGATGTCAGTGAAGACATTTACAAAGTTCAACCAAAATCTGAGTTATTACAAATTATAAATTAAAAATTTAAATGGAATTTTATCATGATATTTACATTGTAAAGGAAGAATTCAGTAATCAAATATAAAAACAGCTTGAATAAACTCTTAGGGGTATTCATTGCAAACAGAATTAAGAGCCTTAAGTTTTTAACTCTTCCATGAATTGATAAAGGATATTTTGATTTTGTCCTATATGTTATACCAATAATATGTAATGTATAGGACATATCAGATGGTTTCTACCCATTGATTGGTCAAAGACCCCTCAGAAGCTACTATATTCTCTTGAATGCCATAATCGAAGCTCTTCTTACTGCTACAGAGGCGCTCTTGATTGAAGAACAAGTTTCCCAGTAGGACAGATCATGATTGCAGTGACCATGCATAAATTTATTTTTTCTCAGGTATCCCAGTTATGAATTTATTAGTGATAACTCCATCTCTTGGTCAGCTGGACTGCACAATCGGTACACAGAAAATTCCCTTCGGGGTGTGATCCTGGATATACATTTTCTGTCCCAGGCAGACTTCCTTGTGTGCACTTTTTCATCCCAGGTAAGTGGTGTTAGAGGACATTTAAATGATCAATACTTTTTGGTTCTGTTGACATTAAGACAAGTATTATATGTGCATCTGTGTTTTTAGTTTTAGTTATCATGACTAGGTAAATTTTCCTAATACTTATAGTGATACCTTTTATGAGAGAATGGAGATTCCATAACTGTCTGAGCACTTTGAATACTTAGCTGTTTGCAGAGCTGCTTGGTGGACTTGTTCAGCATACTTGTTCACAGCCTTTAACAGAAACAGTGAGTAACTAAGCACACTTACTACTTTTTTATTTTGCCTACAGTCAGTGTGGAACCAGAGCCCATTCATTTCAACACATCAGCACACTGGCAGACCTCAGTGTCAAGCATTCTGCTTCACTTGATTGCCTTAAAGAAGAAAGAGTAAATGTAATTCATTTTCAAGTCTAAGCAGGAAGTTGTATGTTAAGTTTGATACAATAATCATACATTCTTTGAGTTTAATTGTTGCATGTAGCTACTGGTTACAGATTTAGTGTATGTTCTATAAGTGATCCAGTCAGCATTATGTGACCTGTGGAGTACCCATATAACGTTATCAACTTTGTTCTCTTTTCTCACTTAGGCATATATCATTGTTTAGTTCATGCTTCAGTTATTTTTTTGTTGTTGTTGCTGGGACAAAATACCTGACAGCAAAAATTAAGGAAGGAAAGGTTTATTTAGCTCACAGTTTGTGGAGGTTTTAGTCTATATTTGGCTGGCTCCCAGGCAGAATGGCATGTGGCAGAGAGCAGCAGTTCATGATAAAAATAAAAGCAGCAGCTGTGGCTTCTGGCCAGCCTCTCTCCCCTCCTTATATTACAAACAAGCTACTCTGGGGTTGGGGGTGTACAAATCATACAATGTCCATCTTCCTCTTGCACAGGATGAAGATGTTTATGAACTAAGAATCCTGGCTTTCTGATGAGTCACTTAGTTAAACTTCTAAATTTCTCAAATTGACCCAATGTATCAACCAGTACAATCCACCCCTTGTCAACTTGGTAACCAGACATTTCCTTAAACCAGTTTCCAGGTACTTAGACATGCTTATATTTTACTACTTGAACATTGTATTACATTAGAACCATGATATTTTGCCCCTGGGCACCCCCCCACAAAGATTCATGCACTTCCCTTTATGCAATAGGCATTTTAATCCATCTCTAAGAGTTGTCAAAGTCCTAACAGTTTCATCATTGCTGAAAAGTCCAAAAGTCTCAAGTCTCCTCCAAGGTCTAAGGCGAACTCTTAGCTTTGAGCCCCTGTACAAATGAAAAGTTAAACATTTCCAACATTTAAAGGCCCAAGATAAAAATTACCATTCCAAAAGGTATACACAGCAGGATACAAACCATTGGAACCAAAACAAGTCCAAAATCCAGAAGGGTGAACATTAAGTCCTATAGTTCCATGTAGAACATCCGAAGCAATCTATAAGGAATTATGAGCTCCAAAAGCCTTACATGGCTCCATCCATGGCACTTCTGCTGGTAGCTCCCATAGCTTTTGTCCTAGGCCAGCTTTACTCCTTCCTTGCAGTTTTCCTTAGACAATCCACATTCCTGGCTTTTTCCGACTTTCGAAGTTTCCACTGAATAGGCTTCTGACTCAGAGCTTTACACACTACCTCTTAGGGGCATTCTGCCTGGCCTCCCAGGCCTTTGAAATGTAGGTGGAAGCCTTTTTAACCTTAGAACTCCTGTATTTTGAATGTGCCTAAAACTAACACTACATGGATGGTGTCAAGGGCTGCTGCCAGCTGGAGTAGTAAGCAGGCTTATTTCTTTTCAGTTATAGGGGTCAAGTACCTGGATTGCTCAGCACACTGACCCTAATTTCGAGGAACAAATTTTTTTATGTCAGCGCCATTTTGGAATCTGTTATGGCTGCTGCCTCTGTTTTGGAACATGGGGCTCTGCAGCTTTGTTTTTGTTTTTGTTTTTTTAAAAGCAAGGTCTCTCCCTTATGATTTTGAGGTTACAAAGGGGGAGAATCTGCCATCTCTTGTGATGCCTTCAGGACGTCTTTTTATTTTGTTGTTTTTCCTGGGCAGTGGAGATCTCAGCTCTATCTTTGTAGGCTACAGCATTCTTAGTGTTTTTTCTCTGGCTAAACACACATTTTAAATCATCCTGCTGGGCTGGTTTTTGTTTTTGCTTTTGCTTTTGTTTGACTCTCACTATATATCTGACTAAAAGCCCCCAACAATAGCCATGCCACTGCCTCAACATTTGACTGCCATAAGATTTCCTCTGCAAGATTAACTAATCCACTGCATTTAACCTCAGTCTCAGGCAAAGTCTCTGGACAGGAGCAAAATGTAGACAAACTTTCTGCCAAGACATAACACAAATCATCCACAGTTCAACAACCAATGCAGTCCTTCTTTCCAGAAGAAACCTCCCCAACCTGGTCTTTACAGGCAGGCTTTCTATCAGTATTCTAGACTTCTGAGCTTTGACCAGAATCTCCCATACAGAAGAGCCAAAGGCATTTCAGCTCTTCACTAGTAGGCAACATCTCTTAACTTTTTCTATCTCTTCCCGTAAGCCATTCCCAAAAGCTCATAATCCACCTTGTTAGGTATAGTCACAGCAACAACCCCACTCCTGTGGTACCAAGTTCTTTCTCAGTTATTTTTTATTTATTGCTGAGACAAAATACCCAACACTCAAAATTAAGAAAGGAAAAGTTTATTTAGCTCACAGTTTGTGGAGGTTTTAGTCTATATTTGGCTGGCTCCAAGCAGAATAGCACATGGCAGAGAGCAGCAGTTTTTGACAGCAAAAAACAACAACAACAACAAAAAAAAAGGTAGCAGCTGAGGTTTATGGCCAGCCTCTCTCCTCTTCTTATACTATGAACAAGCTACCCTGGGCTGTGGGTGTAGAACTCACACAATGTCCATGCCTTCCTCTTGCACAGGATGAGGATGTTTACAAAGTAAGAACCCTGGCTCTCTGCTGATGTCACTTAATTAAACTTCTAAACTTCTCAAGTTGACACAACATATCACCCAGTACAGTTCATTAAACAGCAGCTATTTGCACTCCAAGTTACATTAGGATAAGAGGAGATTAATCAATCAAAATGCGTGCACGAAACTAGAGAATAATTACCAAAAACATAAATTAATATAAGATAAATACATGTTTAAATGCTGAGGGGAAGCACAAAAACATGATGAAGAAAACCACATTATTTCCAGAAGAATATGTTTCAGAGAGAAAAGGAAACAGAAAGCTTTTTTTATTAAATGACAGTGTGTTGTCACAATGGGAGAATGCTGAGGTTGTCAGCAATGTGCCCAGAAACCCATACATATATGGGTTTCTTTTGGAGGGAATAAGAATATAACTTAATACCTAACGACAGCTGTATAGAATAGGAGTCACATAACCAAGTGCTAATTGGAACAAAAAACTTCCTTGCCTTCAAGTTCCTAGGAAGGGATTCACTGTTGATGTTTCTCACTAATTGGGGTGAAGAACCTGTCTTTGAGAAACTTTTTTTCCTTTTTTGTAGTGGTAGTGGTGGGATAGTCAGGGGTATCCAAAGACCTGGGCCCTCCCAACTAGGTTCTCAGACTCCTAACTGTGTACCTACATGATCAATAGATCTGCATAGTCAGTTAAACGCCTCCACACATACCTGAACAGGTATATAAAATGAGTGAACTGAGTTACTTTCCCAGATGTACCATCTTCCCCATAGGTCTAGATTTTAGGCTTGTCTAAAATCTGTTCCAGTCCAGAGTTTCTTAACATAGGCACCACGGCATTTGGGGCCATATGATTCTTTGTTGTAAGTACCTGGACTCTGTGTTGTAGGGTGTCTCATCCTTAGCCAGTAACATCTTCCAACTCAAGTTGTAGCAACTAAAAACATCTCTAGACATCAGCAAAACCTTCCTAAAGACAAAAATCACCTTAGTTGAGAACCATTATTCTGACCATAAAACTCTAAATAATGTATGTATATGTAACAAAGGTCATAGCGAGATATATAACGAGGTCTTAATAGGTTACAAAGCTAGCATTAAGCTTGTGCTTTTCCTGCTTCAGTTTCCTAAGTAGCTGGGAATACAGGCCTACACCACCACACTCAGGTGCTGCTCTTTTCCTTTAAATATATACTTCAAAATTTTTGGGCTTCATAACTCTGATTTTGACTCAGAAGTCAGGACCTCTGTCATTTTATGATGATAGAAGTTTGTCCATGCTTTGATGTTTTATGCATAAAATCAGTCTCAGTGTGTTAGGACCTTCAGGGGAGCAGTTCATATGAAGAAAACTTGTGGCTACAAAAACTTTTTGTACCCAAAGGAATGAGATTCTCATGTATGTACTATATTATTCCTGAAAACCCTTGCCAGTCAGAGTTCACCCAAAATAATTTCTCCTCATTTGATCCAAGGTAATATTTTATACCTCAATATAAAACCGAATACCTAAAATATTTAATGTTACTGCTTAGAATAAAAGTGTCACAGTAAAAAGTGTCGTGTGTGTGTGTGTGTGTGTGTGTGTGCGCGCGTGCGCGTGCGTGTGTACGGAGCGCATTTGCCAACTGTGACCGCCCCATATCGTGTCTTATTTTAGCGGTAGCCAACCTAGGACACATGTCCCGCTGTGTGTTGTCTGTATTATCGGAGAAGTCCTTCGCCGCCATCTATGGCTTGAGTGACTGCATGCTCCATAGCCAATCTCTGGGCTTCACTTGCACCTCAGTATTTTTTGCAAATATTTTTAAGAAAGAGATATTTAGTGCAGTTTAATACTTTATTCTAAGATTTGGTTCACAATATTTTATTGTTTGTTGGTCTTCTGGATATATGGCTTCTCCTAGTTTCTAGAATGCTTATAGCATATATAAAAAGTATGAAGATTAATTGTCCTAGAGTCAACACACGGATGAGAAGTGACTGAAAATTAAAGATTCTTTTCCATCAACCCCTCTCAAAATACTCTTCACTTGGAACACACATCCCATCATTCTCACCATTTCCTGAAGCAGTGAGAATGAAATTGGTTGTTGGATTGTTGAGGTTCCCTCGCCATAAACCTATGTCAGAACCATTTTTTAGGGCCAGCAATACAGTTAGTGGCATAATCGCCTGCCTGGCAAGCATAAAGTCCCAAGTTCAATTCCCCAGTACAGTCAATCAGTCAGTCAATCAGTCAATGAAACTTCTTTACAGAATCGTATTTTAAATGCCCCAGCAGAACTAGGATATCATAAAAGGCCACAGTTAGGACCAAAGCCATCAACTTCACTGGCAGAGAACAAGAGTGACCACACACAGAGTGGCTGTGAGACATTAAACAAATTCTAACTATTGATGTTTCATTTTTTAAAAATAGTAATAATAATAGTACTTGCAGCATAGTTGAGGCTTTTTGTTTGTGATGACTAAAAAATCATTACATATAAACCCTCAAGAGCAGTGTTTAGCAATGCATCAAACATACTCTCTGCTTTTATATGTGCTACCCCTGCCTAACCCTAAAATCATCACCGTGTGTTCTCATCAACCTCATTTATTGAGCTGGAGGGAATCTTACAACCTCCGCTTTTCCCCGAAATCAAACTGACTGTGAAAGGTAAACATTTTTAACCAATTTGGGATATCAATGCAGCTATGACAGCACAACTAAAGACACTGTACTCGCAAAAGAGGACTTCCAGAACTGCTTCAGGAAGTGGTGAGAATGATGGGATGTGTGTTCCAAGTGAAGAGTATTTTGAGAGGGGTTGATGGAAAAGAATCTTCAATTTTCAGTCACTTCTCATCCATGTGTTGACTCTAGGACAATTAATCTTCATACTTTTTATATATGCTATAAGCATGCTAGAAACTAGGAGAAGCCATATATCCAGAAGACCAACAGAAGATAAAATATTGTGAACCAAATCTCAGAATAAAACAAACTTGCCTTGATGATAGCCTCACATTCTAGGAGATGATTAATATAACAAGTTTAATATCCATTTAGTGCCTCAACAGTCCTTAAATTGTCTTACTGTGTAAACTTTGTCTTCTGTATACTATCTTTGAAGAATTATATAGTATATGGCAACAACGAGAAAGAAGTGATCTAGTGACTATTTGCCACTGTAGACAATACAAGAACAATGAAAGTCCATGCTAGGGAGAAAAATGGAAGGCTTGATGTTACAAAAATTGCATGTATGAGTATTACATCTTAATCTAGAGTCTTCAGAAGTTGTAGACACCACTACCACTGCCCAGTCTTAGCACCTGAAGCACAGAGTGGGGATGAGGGTTGCATTCAGTTTTTCACTGAGATGACCACAACTGAAGATTTAGGAAAATTTAACCTGAGTTGTGTTCTCGGTTCAGGATGTATGAAAGAAGATTTGCCTATGCAAAATAATAATGAATTTTTTATTTTTTTAAATTTAAATTCATGTATTTGGTACAGCGTCCCACTGTGCAGCTCACACAGCATGTGGTGCTGGGGACTGAACCCAGTGTTTGCACTTGCCGGGCAGGGGCTTAGACTGCTGAGCTATGTTGTCACCTATTCTTAGAAAAGGTTCTTAAATCCATTTACATCATGCTGAATTTGTTTTTTAATTGCTTAAAACATTATTTCTTTGTGGAGATAGTTACAATTTAACTTTATTATGAAGCATTAAGCTGAAACAATGAAAGTGAATTTATAGACTTTCACTTGTCATTTAGTGGGCAAGGAAGATAAACTTCGGACAGAGGAATCTTTTAAGTAGCCTTACGTCTCAGTTACTCTTCTCTTGTTGCTGGGACAAATACCCAATACCCAAAATGAAGGAAGGAAAGGTTTATTTAGCTCACAGTCAGTGTAGGTTTCAGTCCACACTCAGCTGGCTCCAAGGCAGAGTGGCACATGGTAGAGAGCAAACTTTCATGGGAACAATAGAGAGCAAAAGCAGAAGGGAAGAGTAGTTGCAAAATGGCAACAGAGAGCAACTCTGTCTCCCTTAAATTGCTCTCAGGCTATCTGCCCCAGGCTGGGTGTAGTACTCACACCTGTAATCCCAGCAGCACTCACTCACACCCATAATCCCAGTGGATCATGAGTTAATCACAAACTCTACAAGGCTGCTGTATGACTGCTTGAGGCTTTGAGGGGACACCTAGACACAAACCATAACACCTTAAAATTACCCCAGTCAGATGCATTTATCCAAAGGCTAGCCATGCTTATCAGTCCCAGTGTGCAGCTATTTACAGTGCATACTTAAACTCTTTAGAACAGAAATGGTGGCTATGTTTTTTCTTAATTGCCAGTGCAAGTTCATTGTCAAATTACGTACATCCCAATCAGGAAAGGTTATTAGACCAAGTTGTGAATCAGCAGGAAAGAACAGGTCTTTAACAGTGGATGAAAGAAACAGAGCAGTGCTTATAGTAAAATTTGCAGTCCTGATCCTAAATCTTAAATTCTTCAGAGCATGAATTCATTTTTGTGTCACAATGTTCAGGCTGGATGACTTTATCACCCTTAATATTTACCGCAGTTATTCTTTAAAAAATAATTTTATTGAGAAAGAAGTAGCAATGAGAGAGTTTCAAAACAGGTTAGTAGGACAGTTAAAAGAATTAATACATTGCATATTGTTGCCTTTGTAGAAGTTATTCATAGTACAAGATGCAGACATGATATCTTGTCTGAACACTATTAGTTCAAAACTTTTTCTTATTGAGCTAAGGGAAAGTGAAATTAATTGATTTGATACTTAAAATTCCTTTTCACAATATATAAGAGCTGGTATGTAGCTCAGCGGTACAGCCTGCCTGGCAAATGAGTTCAGTTCCCAGTATGATATTTATATGTATATATACCCCTCATCTTAATTGTAATAATCCTTTGGGTTCATATGTTTTTTTAAAAAGACAGAAGCACAAAGGTTAAGAAGAACTAATACTACTATACGACAGCAAATGAATTGAAAGCTTATAACCAGAAGCCACTGTTTCTTGGCCTCTTGAGTTTTAGAGTATGATTTGGGGCAAGGGCTTTCAGGTAGCTATGAGGAAGTGATTTATATGCAATACTAACAAACTTTTTCTGCTCTTTCCCAAGGTCTGCCGAGTGGCTTATGAAATCATGCAAACACTGCATCCTGATGCCTCTGCAAACTTTCATTCTTTAGATGACATCTACTATTTTGGGGGTCAGAATGCCCACAACCAGATTGCTATTTATCCTCACCAACCTCGAACTGAAGAGGAAATCCCCATGGAACCTGGCGATATCATTGGTGTGGCTGGAAATCACTGGGATGGCTATTCAAAAGGTGTCAACAGAAAACTGGGAAGAACAGGCTTATATCCCTCCTACAAAGTTCGAGAGAAAATAGAAACAGTGAAGTACCCCACATATCCTGAGGCTGAGAAATAAAACTCAGGTAGAAGAGATGAACAGCCAAACACAGTTTGAACCATTTCAGTCAACCAGTAGATGAAGAAGGCCCTGACCTAACAGTGACAACTGGGAACCGACAGATACTTTATTGGTGGCGTTCCTCTTTAACAAGAGCTACGATGCCCTCAAACCCATGCATAGTACAGTAATGTACTCACACGTAACATGCAAGCAGATTGTTTTCTACTTTGCCCTTTCTTTAAATATTATGTCCCCATGAACCAAACACTGCCACATTGTGTAATTTAAGTGACACAGACATTTTGTGTGAGATCTCAAACATGGTGCCTATATCTGAGAGACCTACGTGACTTACTGAGAAGACCGAACCAGTTCCCTGCTGTGGGGAAGCAGATTCTTACCAGTGGTGGTGTTGTGACCACTGAATTCACCCCAGTCAACAGATTCAAAATGCGAATGGATGGTTTTTCCTTTATCGGATTGTCTGCTTTTTTTTTTTTTTTTTTAAGTAATTGCATCAGTTCTCCCACCTCATCATTAATAAATGAAGGATACATCAGAAAATAAAATAATTCACTCTCTACTAGGGACTTTTGTAAAATAATGCCATGAACAAATTCTTTAGTACTCAGTGTTTCTGGACATTCTCTTTGATAACAAAAAATAAATTTTAAAAAGGAATTTTGTAAAGTTTCTAGAATTTTGTATCACTGGATGGTGTGTGGTCATATTTATAATTGGACAGTGACAAATAGAGGAGTTTTATAGTTTTTTAGCTTCTTTACTTTTTTCCGTTTCTTGTAGAGTGACTAATCAGGCCTTAAGTAGAAGAGACATTGGTCCATTTTAATACTGAAAACTGATTTTAGTTGTTAGACATTACAGAGTTAGAACATTCTTGGGAAGCTTGTGTTTTTTTTTTTTTTCAGATATTATTGGTTTGTTTTATTTGTTTGAAAGAATCATTCTTCTCATTCTTGGGAAAACTGTTGTGTCCATTTTTTAAATTAATGATTTCAGTTTTGTTTGAGAATCCTGTTATGTCTGCTGTCTCTTTTTGTGACCATAAGGGATATTATTTTATATAGGAGTCAATTTCTGCCCTGGAGGTCATTGTTTTGATAATCCCAAGAACCTTTGGAAGTTGGCTGTTTGTAAAGTGCACATCTCAAAGTGTGTAGATTTTTGTGAACAAAGGAGAGGGTGACCAGAAAAACACCCAGCATAGACTTAAGGTTTTCTGGTCTGGGGTTTCCTTTCATTAGTTCCACACTGAAATCACTTGAGAAGATGCAAGTTTGATGCCTTCTCTGAAAACATCACTGTTCTCATAAAACATCCCAGTTGTAAGTAAACTGTCTCCTGCAGAGTGTGGGTAAGAGTGTTTCAGAGCTCATGTTTCATGTTCTAAAGGAAACACTCTGTCTATAGGAGCCTGTATCAGGCCTGACAGTAAATAACGGATCTTAGGAAGGAAAGCGCAGTTTAACCTGAGTGAAAATACCTGTGGTGCACCCACCTGGAATCCCATCCCTGGGAGGCTGAGACGGGAGGATCACCACCATTGAAGCCACCCTGGGCTACATAGTGAATTCAACTAGCCTAAACTACATAGTGAGAGCCTTCCTCAAAAAAAAAAAAAAAAAAAAAAAAAAAAAAAAAAA